CACCGCCCCCCCACCCTCCCCTCCCAGGTACCATGTTTAGCTCAGATGCTTCAGAGAAGTGTCAACTCATAGCTTCTGCTTTGAGAGCCTGAACTTGTGATGTTTGGGCAACTAACAATCATCAGAAATGAACTAACAATCCTTTAGAAGACCATCCGGTTCTGGTTCTCCTGATGCCTTCCAGAAAGGCCTCCTGTTTCAAAAGCCTGGGCCTGAGTGGATTTTAGTGCTGGGCACAGTGAAACTGGGTAGCGTCACAGACTAGAGCTCACTTTCAAGTGTTTCTTCAGGAGTGATCCAGTAAGTGTCACGGACAAAAGGGAGAAGACCTCAGAGCCAAGAGGAAACAGCCGGGCCCTCAACAGCCTCACAGAAGAGCCTCCACTGAAAAACAAAGATCCTCATAGATCCAAACAGAAAAATGGGGGTGATGTCCCCCCATGGAGGGAGCGCCTCACTTAGCAGAGGGGCTGGTCCCAGGGGCTTGGGCCTGTTACAATATGCACAGCAAGCCTGGGACACTAAGAAAATGTTCCCATCGTGAATTTTTTAAGGGGAAAGGGGGATCACGTATCAGCAGTAAAACCCTGAAACTCTCTAACAGGTCATTTCACTCTTTGGCTTTGGAGGGCTCAGCTCTCCCTGTGTTCACATGCTTCTCATCATGGTAACGGGACAAGTCCCAGTCCACATGGGCATTAAACGAGGGAACACCCAGCCTCAAGCCCCTCACTGGTTCAGCCTCTCCCCAGTGCTCATGTGTGGCCCCGTGCCAGGGTTACCTGCGTGCCCTTGAGGATGTGCTGCTCTGAATTTAGGAAACAAGACTCCACCCTCAAAGGAATCCAGTTTCTCCTGAATCACAACCCCACTGTTAACCGGGTGCCACTGGAAGGTTCTACCAAGTAATCTGAGCACTACTCAGCAAAAGGGAAGAACCTGTGCCCCAGCTTTTCTCCCTTCCCGGCAAGGGCTGAGCTCCAAGAGGGCGTGTGTGGCAGGAGACGTCTCTATCACAGCTTCTCCACTCCCTTTCCAGGTTGCTGCCGTGCTCCTGTGCTTGCCTTGTTATTAAAGCAGATTCGGCAGCAACTTTTCTCTAGTAGCTCCCACTCCTACACAGCTGCCTTTCTACAGGTAGAACTTAATGCTTTTTAAAAAGGAAAATTAACCTACATGACCTAAAACTTAAAGTTTTGGAGGCAAAACGATGCCCAGAGTCACATGATAAGCAAATATCCATCTTGATTCAGTGGTTCAAACAGTGTATGGCTTCTCTGAGCCAGGTGGGCTTGCATGTCAATATGTTAAGGTCACATTTAAACAAGTAACACCCCTGGTCCTGCCATTTCAGTGCACGGATGTCCCCATGCCAGAGCAGCACAAACTTCCGTGGGAGCCTGCAGGGCAGGAGCAACTGGCATTACAAACTGCTTAGAGGTAGGAATTCAGGACTGAATCCAGGAGGCAAAATACATCTGGCTTATGCCATAGGTTCTGGACATTTCTTAGCCAGAAGCGATGTGATCTGAGAGCCTCTGCATCCCACACAATCACACTATTGCTCATAGTGAAATCAAGTATAGTTTTATTTCAGATTTGGAAAGAATATCAGTATCTGTGAAAGAAAATCCAATTTAAAATATTTAAATAAACATTTCTGCATGTAAAAAGAAGAGTAGAAGAATTACTCCATTAAGTTACTCTCCTAGCTATGGACGGCTTCCCGAGAGCAAGCACTTCTGATGGCCAGTCTCCTGGGCCCAGGACAAGGCGGCAAGCTTTCATAGCGGGGCACAGAAAGCAAGCCTCCCACCACGCGGCAATGCCAAGGTCGCCTACCCTTGCCAAGTCACTACAGAAGCAAAGACGGTGGGAGATGGCAGCTACCTAAGGCAGTAAGAAAGTGCAGAGAAGGGACAGTGGGTTACTGTACCTGTTACGGAGGGACTGCTACCAAAATGAGCCATGGCTGAGACCTTACTGAGCCTAATCTATTAACACAACATGTTAGTTTAGGAATATTTCCCATATCATGTCACCACCCTAAATGGATGGGAGGGACTGATAAAGTCTACTTTTAGGCTCCAGAAGCAGTTCACACCAGTGAGGGGCTATGGGAAATGCTGCCTTTTGCTTTCTGCCAGGCTCACTCCCCTCCCTTGGCTGTGAAACTGCCATTCTCAGCCTAGCCTGCAAATCCTTGTATGTGTCCTTTTATGTGGCTTCTAAGTAGCTTTGTTCTGTGCAGTGCCTATGTTCCCCTTAAAAATCTGCACTTTAAAACCTGCAATGGAAAAAGAAATCTCCTGACAGTTTCTTAATTTGAGGGAACTGGAGACGTGGCCTTTGCCCAAGCAGCTTTGGGGGACACCCAGAAAGCCTGTATCTCATTAACCTGATTCTTTGCCCTGCACACCATCACTACTAAATTTATACGGCTAAAAATAATCCAAAGATCTCAGTACCAGATGAAAGTCAATCACTTGCCAAACCCCTGTCCCTAAATAGTTCATCTTTATCCTTAAGTAATTGCTAACTTCTGCCCTGGGATTACAAATGAGGGTATGAATGTTCTCGCTGCCCCCTCCCGCAGACCTGCTCTTGAAAGCAAAGGAGAACATCAAGCCCCAGGTGGTAGAGGGCAACATCCAAACAGAGGCCTACCTTCTGAGCTCCTGCCGGGCAGGAAGGTGGGCTTTCTGAACTCCGGCAGGTGGAGGAACAGATTGAACCCAGCACCTCACACTTCCCGTTCACAAAGCCAGGGGCCCGCATTAGCTGCTCTCCAGCTATTAAAAAGACAAATTCATGGCCCTCCAGAAGTGTCATTAAAGCTGGGACTAAGCCTGCTCCATACAGAAAGAAGTTTCCCTCAAAGAGCTGGGGATGGCTACCAACCCCTCTCCATCCTGCAGTCCTACTAAGTGGAGTTGACTTTGCAAAGCGTAGTCTGGGGGACAAGTTTAGAGCTAATCCAACTTGAATCCTCAGTCAGGGCATGTCCCACCTGGGAGTGTTCCTGCCGGAGGAACCTGCAGCCTGGGGCTCCAGCAGTGGCCTTGGCCAGTCTGACTGCATGATCCTCCCAAGGGCCTACGGTTGGGACTCCCTGGTTCTCACACCCGCAATGTCACACCAGCAACCAACAAACCCGCACACCTCTTTGGTATATAATAACAAAAAGATTAATTAGGCCATGAAATCTAGAAATTAATACTATTTTGAGTTGATAAAATGCTCCTTTGAACACACATTTCCAGTAGTTAACTGAATGTCCATTTTTGAGTAACTCTGACACAGTATAGATTCCATTAATGTCATCTCTCATCTAAAGTATTAAAAATGTTTGACGTTGTTCTAAGTCTTCACAACACCCCTGTGAGGTAGGTGGTATTGACCCCATTCTACAGATGGGGAGGTCTAGGCACGGAAAGGTAGGTGGCTCCTTGAAAGCCACGTGGCGTGGCTGGCGTGGCAGCAGGGATGCACTCTGGCCCGGGCTTCGCTGCCTTCACATTCACGTGTCCCAGTGCCACCGCAGAACTGCGTGGAAGGATCTCACACAGAGACCATGTTCCTATCTAGTCCAGAATTAAGCAAGGGTCTTTACAGTTTATATGTTTGACTCATAAAACCAACCACTCTCCCTGAACTTTAAAAGCAAAAATATGACTAAATCTCAGTTGGGATTATTTGCTCTATTTAAGATTTTCATGGGTCGACTTGAATCTTGTAGTTGTGCGTGCTCTCAGACCCCTTTGGAAGACAGTCTGAAATGGCATTAGGGATGACGAAATTTTGAGAACAGAACATAGAAATCAATAGTTAATAGATTTAAATCAAAACTATACGCTATGGTAAAATATGAATAAAATCCCAAGTAAATGGAGAGCAGTATTTCTCAATGTTTGACAATGCCTTGCACAGAGCAGGTGTTCAGTAAGCATTTCTTGGATAAAGGACAAATGACACATCTTTGACATGCCTGTCACTGATAACAGCCCCCACTTGGGAGAAGGCCAGGAGCCCAGGGAAGCCATAGGGGCCGTGGGCTCCCTGGTAACACAAAGTCACTCAGGCAAATCATCTGGGTGTCGATGCTTCCTTTCTGCTAAATAAAAGTTGGGCCTATAAACACTGAGTCCCCTTTGAATCTATACTGCTGTTTATAAAAAATAGATATGTAAATACAATTAAATATATGAAGAGCCAAAGTGCCTTATAAGGAAGTGTCTTTAAAACTGTATAGATGCTCATGCACTAAGGACAGAAATCAGGAGGTTAAAGCTGTGCTGTTTGTGTATTTCGGTTAAAGTAAAGATCTTCAATGTACTTCTAATGCCAGAAAGCACTGGCGCCCACATACCCTTCCTGCTGAAGCCTTATTCAGAGCGATGAGTCCACCTCTCTCAGGGGGGTCTTGGTTACAGCCTAAATGCACTGTGGCCGCGAAGGACAGCATGTGGCCTGGGCTCGGCACCGGGCACTCCGGAGGGCACTGCTGAATATTGCTGTGACTTGCTCCTTGGTCCTATCTTGATTCAGCCCAAGAACAGATTGCTCCGGGAATCTGGGGTGGGGGGATGTCCTTTGGTCCTAAGGCCTTCTGACCTTCTGATCTTGAGTGATATCCAGGAGTAAATGGCAAATATAAAATATTAAGAAAATCCATTCTGCAGAGTGGCCGAGCAGAGGCCATTTTGTCCTGGGCTGCATGGAGTGGGAGGCCCCGAGGCCCCTGGCATGTCATAGATCCACCTTGACCCCTTTTATAAAAGGCAGGCCCGTGGGCACCCGCTTCTTATATTCCAGGTACTCCTCTCCAAAAAAGTGAATTAATGAGATTTCCTCTTCTTCTGTTCGATCGCGGAAGAACCGCCAGACTGTCAGAGCATAGCCAACGCCACAGATGGGGTTGCAGAGCATCACCTGCCAGGGAACACGAGGCTGATCAGCACCAGAGGGACCGACACTGTGTACATCTGCGGCATCTGCTTCTGTCAGGCCCACAGAGGACTTCCTGCCAAGGGCCCAAGACTCTCGAAATAAGAAACATGATTAGGGCCTTTAAGCGCCGCAGCCACGGCACCACTAAGTGACATCACACCATTATTTTCACATGAGAACTGAATATTCACCACTAGTCTTTTTTCACACGCTTCCTGTTGTTCCTCCCACCTGAAGGATAGCTAGAAACTAAAAGGAAAGAGCAACCTTTTGGATTTCCATCCTTAGGTCGGGGTGAGAGCACCTCCTTCTCCTGCCCCTAAGAGTGAATTCCCATTTATTCGGTGCACCCAATCTTCCCAAATGACTCCCAGCCTGTCACCTTCCTGTCCTGGCCCACCACAGCCTAACGCAATCCCTCTCACCTCACAGCTGCCAGGACTCTGCCTTCCTCTGGGCCAGAGACTACCTAACTGAGCTTCTGAAATCACATCTTTCATCTAATCACTCCCCAGCTCAGAAAACTCCAAGGCCTAACCCACTCCCTTGGGCTGGTGGGAGCACAGCACCTAAGCCCACCTCTTCCAGCCCCTGCCCCACCCTGCTGTATCTACATGGACTGCCTCTTACCTCCATACACATGTGGTTTTTCCATTTTGAGAACACCTTGCCCACTGATCCATCACCAAAGAGTCCTTCCAGGTCAAGAGCTCACCTGGCTCTCGGGGAACTTGCTGTGCTGTTGGGGAGCCCACTAACCACCCCTGTTCACTCTGACTGACCCAATGGACGTATGTCTTCCCCAAGTGGGTGACTTCCGCCGAAAGAACCAGGCACATGCTCTCAACTCCTTCTCACCACTGTCCACTACCAAGTGTTTTCTGTGTTTCTGGCACACACTCAGCCCTTTACAACCAATAAGCCATTCAACCCTACAGCAAACCTGAGGTGCTGCTGCTGTCCCCACGTAACTCATGAGGACAGGGAGGCCAACTGGTCAATGTTAAGGCCAGGACTGGCCAGGTCAGCGACCCCAGAGCCTGCAGACATGTGTGGCCTCTTGGCATGAGCTAGAGTAGGGTTTCCTAATTGCAGGCCATGACCTGTTATTGAGCTATGAAATCAATCTGTGCATCTTAAACAGCATTACAAATAATAATAAGGTAGAAAACAGTGTTTTGTACACTGTAAGGGCAAGTGTTGTCCTGGGAAAGACTTGCTCCATTTTTACACACATATGTGTGCTGGGTAACAGTGTAAAAAGATCTATGGTCAAATAAGTATAAAAAACTCTTTAGTCCTCAGGTTTCTAGCTAGCATTTATGGCAAATTACATGATTCAACTATAATCGAATTGTTCCCCAAAAATATGATTGTTAATGCGGGAGTTTTAAGTTTCAGAAATGCAAGTGTTAAAACAAATGCTATGCAGTAACCTGTCCCTACTACACCACTGGGGGTCATCAGAGTCCCCACGGACCACGCACTGCACTGGAATGCCTGAGGGCCAGACTGGATTCGCCTAAAGACAGGTGAGTTTCCTAAACTCTATTCATGTTCTCTGGCTAAGTCCTAGGACGAAGAGAACAGACTCAAGAGACAACTGTCAAGAAACAAAGCTCACTCTGCAGCCTAAGATAGAACAAACCTCCATAGGTCACATTAAACCTAATACCGGACCTTGGCCTCATTAAGAGCAGCTTCTAATGAAAATGAGCTCAGCTGCCACTTGGGCGGCAGCCCATCTCTGTCCTAACCCTTCTGGGGTGCTTCAGATACAAGTTAAAGAGGCAGAGAAGGGGTGGGTACAGCTGATGGGGTAACAGCACCTAGAATCACCAAAAGCTTGAAAACTAAGGATGTCCAGATTTAAAGTACGTGGTAAATAATGTTTAGGACTAAATCAGTTCTTCTCACTTTTATTTAGTTACCACTTGAAACATGAAACGTTACCTATTTAAAGAGGACCACCAACCTTGTGAATACACCAAACCCCACTGAATGGTACAATTTGAACTGGTGAATTTTATGGCATGTGAATTACATGTCAAAGTAAAAAATATTTAGAGAAAACTTAAAGGAGACCAGTGTCACATCGGATACTATACCTGGGTTCCGATACTCCAGTAAAACCACCCAACGTAAGAAGGATGCCGGAACCAGGCATACACTCCACTTGTCACCAGAGTATGGGTTTCTGATTTCTCATTCTGCACCACGTGATTGAAGTTGGAACCAGCCGTAAACATTGCCGCTTTCCTCAGACATTCTCCAAAGACCACCATCAGCAGGCCCGTGGCACTGAGCCAGGTGATCTGCTTCAGTTCTGCAGGAGACATGGTGACAAAAGGGAAGTGGAGACATTGGACTGTTGAGTTCTCCCTTCGGATGCTTAGGATTAATTTATTTTTCCAAAGGTAGAAACTGGAAAACATGCTGGCGGGCAATCAGCACTTCTCATCACATTAAAATTTAAGTATAAGCAAAACACATCCCCCTAAGTTGTGCTGTTCATCCATTTAAAGTGTCAACAACCCAATTAGAGCATCATGGCAAAGGGCTGATGGGCTCTCATTCCACATCCCCCTGCCATATGCTCCCAGCCTTCAGTGGGGAAAAAGACAGCTGAGAGAAACAGAGAAGGACCCAGTGTTTCCTGCCTTGGCCACTTACTGACTTCTGGGAACTACATACATTTGATTTAATTTGCTGTGGAAAGTTCCACTTGAGAGTAGGTTCCTGGTGCAGAGGCTTTTGCTAATAAAATCTTCACATGAAATTTCTCAAGTCACAGAAAATGAAAAGATCTAAATCTCCTCCAACTGTAAAATTAGGATTACAGCTATCGAAGGGAAGCCCTTTGTATCAGGGGGTGCACTACACTATGCAAGGCTTAAAGCAAAAGGTCAACATGTCCTCGATTCAAAATCCAGAAGCGGAATTTACAATCCCGACCTCTATATAAAGAGCTTAGTGAGGATAGAGGTCTGGGGAAATCATTCCAGGAGATTAGGCCTGACAGGAAAACCCACATCACTGTCGTCAAGCCCACATGGAAGCCACCCACCTCCTCTCCAAAGGGGAGAGTAGGGCACACTGACCTGGCCAGAAGATATTTTCAAGTGTGAACTCGATCCAAGAAGAAAGAGCAGCTACGGTGTACTCCAGACTGTGATTCAGGAGAAAGGAGTCCAAGGACAGACTTTTGGGATTGTTGACTGCTGTGACTAGGTATTCAGAATAGTGGAACAATGACAAGGAGCACATATACCTATTTAAAACAAAAACAAAGAAAGGTTAAATCTGAGCTTTTTTAAGGAAGAAATAAACAGAGGAGGGTATGTTGGGGTAAGGGAATAGCCATAAGTATCAAAGTGCAGGTTCGGGTCTGTGAAACCATCCCTGAATTCTATGAGGTCCTACTGTCACCTGTCTGAGAGTGGATCTCAGGCACCCGCATTACTCCCTCAGGTTTGCAGAAAGTGGGAGTTAAAAGGGACTACATTTTTGAATGTCACAGGCAAAAACCAAACAAACATAGGTGAGGATGGCATTATGGGCCCTTCGTTTTTTTTAAAATGACACTACATGCAGTAAACCACGAAAGTGGGAAATAGTAAAATAAAGTAGCAATGTATGTCAAATGCAAAAAAATTAAAAACTGAGATTTCAGCGACAAAGAATTAGTTCAGTATTGATAATAAGAGATAAAGCTTTTTACCTTGAGGCCACTAATAAGAGATAAAGCTTTTTACCTTAAAGCCACTGGTTCATATCCAGGTCAGGGCCTAGAAGGCTCATGGGACTGAAATCATAGTCAGGGAAAAATTTTATACTGACCATGGGGGATGCACTGCATGTGACCTAATAGAAATTAGAGATGGACGAGGCCTGTGAAAATGAGCCAGAGCCTTGCCCCTTCCCATCACCAAGAATGTCACTGCCGCTGCAGGTGAGGGCACCTGTGGAGAGGGTGTCAGGAAAATCTGCTTCTGCCTGCAACAGGGCGCACGTTCTCAAGGTGCAAGATGTAGAAATCTAGGTGGAAGATAGATACCTCATTTCCACAGAACCCTTCACAGCTTTCAGCCAGCCAGAGATGGGACACAGGAATGATGAAATACCACTGCTGGCCCTCTGATCTGCCCACCCTAGCCTCAAACCTACTGTTTCCAAAGTACTTCTTACCAGCCAAAGTGATTCCAAGAAGACTGGCTAAAACTTAGCAGCACCCCACAGCCGAACACGAAGCCAAGAAAGCAAGCTCGAATGGCTATCTAAAAGAGACCCAAAAGAAGTTCGGTCACCCGGCTGTTGCTGGAGTACACACACCCCCTACTTCCTGGGATATGCAGGCCATTGGCAAGCACCTCGCCTGTGTTGAAATCCAGTGCCCACCACTTCCTTCCTGTGTGGCCTTGAGCCAGTTACTTAACCTCTCTGGACCTCGGTTTCCCCACCTATGCAATGGGTATAATAATAGTACCTACCTTTTATAATTGCCTTGAGGATTACCCACGTAAAGCACTTAAGAGTAAATGCTACAGAAGTTTCAGCTGCCACTATTAATTACTGCTGCTATTATTAAGGGCTGTGGGTAAACTGTGTAAACCTAATTTGTTGGGGGGATTCTCCCAAGTCCCCGCAAACGAATCTGGCCTGGGCACCCGGGGACTCTGCAATCGGCCCCCTCCACCCCAGACTTGACAGCAGGTAGGTCTCCACACCTTAAATTACATAAAAGAACTCGTGAGCTCGCTCACTCCTCACCCCACGCGCGTCTGCCGCAGCTGCTGAACCGCACCAACGGCAATTTTGCACCCGCTCCGCCGGGTGGAGGGGCCCGAGCCCCAC